GTTGCTGCTGCTTCACATATAGTAGCTTTTTCTTTTTCATTTTTAGCACCACTTTCTGCTCTTTATTTTGGATTTTCAGCTATCCATGAGCATTAGATAAATAAGAGAAGTGAGATAAACAAACAACTACAGATTCTTCCATTCCATCACTACTATTTTTTTCTTTTTTCAAAACAATCGGAAATCTTGTTAAAATCGCTTTTTCACCGATTTCTATTGTCACAGGTTTTAAGAAACAATTGGACCGGTTATAGATTCGATTCCCGATTAATCCGGTCGAACCGACCAATCTGGTCTGATTTATACATTGTTCAATACCATCGACGCCCTTTTCAGACAATTACAGTACCATAATTCGGTGTAAATGACAATACCCATTTTTGCCCCTGTTGTCATTCATTTCACTCTACTCTCAAATTTCCTCACCCAACCACCGTTTTCTTCACATACAGTAGCAATAAGGGCTAAATTGACTTGGAAATGTTAAAAGGCATGTACAGCTTAAAAATTGGCAAACAAGCAACCTTTAAGTCAAACATGGTGGGGCAGGTGGTTTCACTGTTTTCACACAAAAATCAATTTTTTCCAGCAAATTTTTTGACGAAACATTACTAGAACAATTGTACTTTAATCGTAGACTTAAAATTTATATAAAAATTAATTTAATTAACTATACTTTTTGCGAAATGAGTAAAGATTTACTTTAAAATTTACTTAAGAATTATATATATATATATATTTTTTAAAACAACACAATTTAATACTAAAGGAAACCAATTCAAAACCTCTATAGAGTAATTTACACGTAATACTCATTATTGAAGTGAACAGTGCATGCATGTCTTCTAGTTCTAGGCAGTAAATAAAAAAATGTTGTTTTGCTTTTCTTTCTCGAGCGGCAAATGTCAAAATAAATTTGTTTACACAATTATCAATCTCGAAACTTCACGAAATTCTAAGGAAGATACGAAACTTCTTATAATATAACATTATAACGTATCCAAAAATCGGCTTCCTTCGACAACATATGAGGTATTGAAATATTTTCCAAAAATCTCGTAACAATTGGGTTTGGAAGATAAACCAACGCAGTTTACTTAAAATGACATAAAATTCTACAAATATCGGATCGACAAAATTTCAAGTTTATTCAGTAGTTAAACCATGAGGCTATCAAAATTTCAAATAATGATTTGAGTTACGAATTTTGAAGTCTAGGACAAAAACTGAAATTTTAAAAAAAATAGCTACACTAAATTTTATCGCTAACATTTTTATGATAAACGGCAACTTGTACATTAATTTCTATAAAACATAACTAATTCATAAAAATCTTCTTAGAATAGTCTCACAAATGATGTTCATAGAAATCCATTTATTTAAAAAAAAAAAAACACGTAAACGTTCATAATCGAATAAAAACATTAAGTCGTCGGCTTCTCCATGTCATGTTGCATCTTCATCTATCATCATCCATGCACCAAGCAAATCAAATCAACATGTAAGAAGTGAATTAACCCATGAGTTTGAAACTCAATAGATATTATCGGTGCGTTTCGTTATCAAATTAGAAAATTCGAACTATAGATTTATACTGTCGCACGTAGATAGATTTTCGACAAAATTCAATTTCTAAAGAATTATCGTAACACGTAGAGTCAAAAGAATTATCATTCAAATTATAGTAGTGCCGAAGTATCGTACTCGGAGGTGCCAATTCATTCATACTTTTAATGAAAAATCATAACTTGAAAACGAAATAACATCTTTTACCTTTACCTAACGAAACTGAAACCAATGCTTTTAAAAAAATCTGCCTCTCTTTTCTTTCCCTTACTTTGGAAGTTTTTCTTTTTTTTTTCTTTTATAATTTTTTTTTTT